CCCCCCCCCCCCCCCCCCCGAAGTGAAAAACCTGTTTAAAGCCCTTTACACTGTTTACAGGAATTAGAAATTTTTCTCTATATATATACACTGTATTAATTTAACAGCTTGAACAAAACTGCATGCACATGATTAAATTGCATACCTGCATGCATTACATCAACCACGTAGTGTATTTTCAGCATCCTACCTGTTTGCCTAAAAGAATGATATCAGGTTTTTCCTCCTCAGCAATTTTGGCAAACAATTTTGCCACTGCTAGGGGTTCTAGAGTAGTAGCATCTTTTTCGTCAACCACAACATGAATTGCCCTGTCCATTCCCATTGCAAGAGCAGTTCTCAACGTTTCCTGGGAAGAACCAATAACAATTGCATTACTGGGTCATTCCATGTCAATTCATCAGTTTTTTTGAATTTGTAACCCGCCTCTTAGGATCTGGCTCATTTTTTTCACCATCAGTAGACAATAGTAAGAAATGACTGTATACAAAATTTGAAGTCTGAAGAATTTCTCAAACATATTTTGATTTACAGCTCATTACAAATTGCCTGACATAACATGCTCCACCAATTCCACCTGCGGAAGTTAACTTCAGAAGCTTATTCCCCTAAAATTTCGTACTCTAAATCTTTTTGGGTCAAGTTATCTGAAAATAACATCAGAATGGTCATAACGCAACAAGGTACCCATTATTTTAAGCGATAAACTAATGTTCTGACTTTTGAGAATTTTACGACCTTTGTCTTTCAAGCAATTTCGATGTCTCCGATCACGTAAACAGTTGCACTGTATGCCATCTGAAAGAGCGCACTTTAAACTACCAAAAACTACTAAATTCACAATTTGAGTTTTAGTTTAGGTTGAAAAACGTATTTTAACAGACAATTTTTCCATTACTGTAAAATATCATTTCGCAAAATTATTGTATTTTCTTTAGATTGGTCCTATAACTGCAGTAGTAAAGCTTGGTTTTTATGGGTTTTCCAAGTAAATATGGTTTCGGTACAAATTCAAATCCTGAAATCGTATTTAGTTTAAAAAATACAAAACAGTGTGTTCTGTGCATGCGTACACCAATTGATTGAGTTAGAGAAATAACATGTAAGGAACCAGATTAGAAATTCATGGGTGCTGCATTAAAACAATATTTTGTATTTTATAGTAACGGAAAATTAACGGTTAAAGACCATCTCAAATCCGTAATGTAAACATATCCTTTGTTTACATTTTGAACTGCTATATTTTTCAACCTAAGAAACTCGCCTCCGTAAGATGCAAATTGTGAATTTAGCGTTTTTTGGTAGTTTAAAGTGCGCTCTTTTAGATGACATACAATGTGACTGTTTAAGTGGTCGGAGACATCGAAGATTTTTTGCTTGAAATGCAGAGGTCGTAAAATTCTCAAAACTCAGAATAGTGGGTACCCTGTTACGATATGACTATTCTGATGTTATTTTCAGATTCCTTGGCACAATAAGATTTAGAGTACCAAATTCAAATATTACTTCCACAACTGGAAGTGGAATTGGCGAGGGCAAACAAACACCCTAAAATCAGGCAAGTTTTGATATGCTGTAAATCAATAACCATTGGAGGTATTAACTTCAAATTTTGTATACAGTCATTTCTTAATAATGTCCACTAGTGGTGAAAAAATGAGCTAGATTGCACGAGGTGGGTTAAAACCCTCTGAAGAATTGACATGGAATGACCCCACTACAGGTATGAAGTAAGAGAGTACAGTGATAATGCATGCAGCATGACCAAACTATTTAACTATGTTTGGAAATTTTAAATATCAAAGTATACACCACAGGATGTATATACTTGGCTTTGTTTCGCGGAATAAAGTAAACGGACGTATATGTGTATTCTTTTGGAGTTAATAACTTTCGAACCAACTAATTTATAATGAAAAATTCAGCCCCCAAATATAACTTCATTTTTTAGGGAATAGGGATATAGGCAGATAACTCGGGCATCTGCAAAATGGAATCATTTAACTAAATTTGACAGTACAGCGATGTAAATGTTCCATTTTTGAAAGCAATTAATGCATCTTCTACAGTATAAACAAAGAAAACATATGACAAGGAAAACAATTGAACACAATACACACCAATATATATATACTGTATAATATACTGCACTGATGTTATCAGCTTATAATCGAAAAAGGTACTGATTATCGCTTATACAGATAAAAACCGCGATTATCAGCTCATGGCAAACAAAACCTTAAATTTTAAAGCAACTGAAACAATTAATATATCATTTACCTGCATGAAACCCAACATAGCAAAATTTGTTTGGTGGTAACCAAAAGTACATTGTATCTCAGTGGTGGATTTATAGGGGGAGGGGGGTCTTGATCAACAGGGGTGCAAAAGGGTGCATAAAATTAAATTTATCTTACTGTAGTTTTAATTCAAAGTTTGTTATCAGTCTTAAACTAACTTAAGTTTTGGAATTCAAGACAACATCACAGCACTAGTACAAAATACTAATATAAAGTCCAATATTAATTAATTTAGTTTGATATACTTTGATTGAATAAAGCAAATTCTTAAAGACCATGTCAAGTTCGTTCTGCGCATCAGTTCTGCTCATAACAAAGGGGGACCCACAGATATAAACATTGCCCAAATTTTGCATCTTTCAAACTTTTTTGAATTGAAACGCACTCTAGTTTATATTCGTTTACAATTGCGAACCAGAAAAGTGTTAGATATTCAGTTAGTATGTCTTAGTTTACAAATATAGCAGTTCAAAATGTAAACAAAGGATTTGTTTACATTACAGACTTGACATGGTCTTTAATCTTGCTGCAGATGTCTAACTTTATTAGAATTTCATAATGAAAATAGAAATTACAAAAGTAATCAAATATTCAAATGTGAAACAGTATTGAGAGATGAGAGAATTTATATTTTATTATTAAATTAAATTATATTTATTCAACATATCACACACTTTCATGACAGTATGCTGCTGGCCAGTGCTAGATTCGGCGTGCTTGGCCAACACCAACCTACAAAAACCTTGCTGGATCCACCACTGTTGTATCTACATGCACTGTAGATATAATTTCTAATGGATTGGGTCATCAGGATGCAGTGTAATGCAGTACATTATACTTAACACTGTAGCACATTGTGTATGAGTGTGAATTGTTTTTATAATATGGCTACAATAATGAAATGCAGTTATTGGTGCTCAATGTATGTTTTGTTAAGATTACCTCAGATTTTGGTGGTCCACAACTAAGTGCTACAATTTCATCAGCAATACCTTTTTCCTTCATTCGGACAGCCTACAAATAAATATACAAACAAAACGGACTGTCTGTACATTCTTTACACAAATTAACAATTGTGTGGATAAATTATTTCCTGCTGCCATAAAGGCAGTTCTGTAGCACATGGTTGCAGAAAGTAGGAAGCAATGGAGCGACACTACCTCCAAAGTCTAAAGGGCTAACTCCAAACCAAAATATACACTTGAGTAACTTGTGTAATTTAAAACTAACTGAGTTGAAATATGAATTGTGGAGTCACTGGCTAAATCATTTAGGAGCTAGGTATCTAAACCTGGAATTACTGGCTAACTCCAAAATCATTTGGAGCTAAGTATAACTCCAAAAATCATGAAAAAGCTAGGTATCTAAGCCTGGAGTTACTGGCTATGAACTCCAAAAATCATGTGCAGCATTTTGTTCTAATCCAGAGGCTAAATTTTTATCTGCTGCAGTTGCGGCGAAACACATTCTCATACCCCTCGAGTGACGACCCACGTCATGCTCTGTTGACTGCTTGTAAAACAGGCTCTGGGTAAGAGAATGTGGCATAGGGTAGCTCCATTTGAAGATTGGCTAGCTCCATATTAAATAAAATCTACAGGTATGCTGTAGCAAATTACTGAAGGTAGAGGCAAAAACGTCAGAATCTGCAAAACACTAAGCAAACGCATAAAAAAAAATTTATGATACCCAGTTTTTTAATTTTTTCAGGCATTTCCAGTCCTGAGTCTATGTTCCAAGAGTTGTACACTGCATCATTATAATGCAAGATTAAAAGTATTTTTCAACAAGTCCAAAAAATTTGGTCTCTTATTCTTTATAAATATTAAAAACAAAAAAAACCAAAGGTAGAGAGCCATCATGTTAACTTGTGGTACTTTCAGTGCAGTTAAAATAGTTCACAGTATAATTAATGCACTTAACAATATACACATAGTTACTTTAACCCATTGAGTCGCATTGCACCCTGATGCACCCTACTTTTATTAGTATTTTACTCTGTCTAACACCAGATGATTTTACTCGTCAAGGGGAGAGCGCTGGTGCTTAATGGGTTAACTGGCCTATCTGCCCGTGTGTCTAGTTAACCGATTGAGTTGTATTGCACCCTACTTTAGTATTTTACTCTCACTGTCTAATGCCAGACGGTTTTACTCGTCAAGGGGAGAGCGCTGGCGCTTAATGGGTTAATTAAACAAAATTATTGTGGGAAATAGCGCCTGGAAATGCACTTTACGGGCTTGTAATTATTTGAAATTTGCTAGGGGGTATGGGCATATTTAAAATTTGCTAGGTTCACAGCTTCGCTGCGAACATCTCAACACCAGCCCCCCCCCCTCAATTGCAAAACAAGCCTGGGGGTCATGTTTAAGCTCTTCGCTCTGCAGTTGGAAATTTATCTGCAAGTTCCTTGAGTACGAACTGTCTTAAGCCTGGGGGTACCAGGCATAGAGATTATAAATAACACTAGAGGAGGCATTGTAATCTTAATTCAGTAAAAAAAAGGGAACGCAACTATTGGGGGGCAAATTCAAGTCCCGGATGTGTATTCGTGTTCCCATTGGTGACGAGTTTCAAATCAGCCAATGAGAGCACGATTTTATATCCGGGGCTTGAATTTGCCCCTCATTAGCTGCGTTCCCAATTCTTAAACTCAATGCCTCCGCTAGTGTTATTTATAATCTCTATGGTACCAAGTACAAAACGACCATATTAAACCAAACCACACTGAATAGCATATACAAATATTTCTTTCTCAGGTTTAACTATATTTAGGATTTCAGTATATACTCAAAACAAGTACACTAAGGGTTGATTTTGCATGCATGCACGAATATAATAAAGCTATATTGATACCTCTTCGACTGCTATTTCGTCAAAAGGGTTCATACTGTGTTTTACTCCATCCGTTACTACTCCTGTTTTGTCAGGTTTCACACGAATCTAGATACAGAAAAATTGAAAAGAACTAACAATCATTCTTTAAAGCGTTATTTCTTGCAATTTTCTGCGAAACCTACCTTTACAGCATAATCTATGACACGTTTGCAGCCAACAAGAACTCGTAATTTTGACGCCATATTGTATTGCGAAAGAAAGGACTGATTCGAGGACGTGCAGGAGGCTGATGGATTGTAGGGGATCGTGAAAAATCCTTGTCACCAAGGTAAACAAAAGTGATTGAAATTTTCTAATTTTCTATCAGTAAACGAGATCAGTTATTCAGTTTAGTGCACTGGTTTGATCTGATAGATAGATAATTGTCCAAAATGCCTCCAAAGAAGACTGTTAAGGCGAAGAAAAAGAAGAAGAAGACAGCAGGTAATTTAAGCAGAAATTGTTTTCAAAACTAGGTAGAATGTATTTTAAAATATGGTGTGTGTATAGAAAACAAAGACCTACTTAATACTGTACATAGGCCAAGTGTAAGGCCATGTAAAAAAACCATATTAAACTCTCCCGCTGGGGAATTTGGAAGTCAACCCCCTACCCCCTTTGGACATCCTAATATGCTTACTATTATCAGAAACAAATTTTCTTCCCTCTCCCCCCCAACTTCCATATAGCAGAAATTTCCTCTGTAGTGGGGGTGTGGATCGTTCTGGAATGATCCAATATTTCTTAGTCAATTGCCCTATATATAAATGAATCCAGGACATAGTCAGATCCCGGATCCCTATTCCCTACTCTTGGTTTCCAGATTCGTAGATTCTGGATCTAGACTTGTACATTCAGATCTTGTACAGACTTCTTATAAGTCGATAGTTTCCTTTATCTTGATTCCGGATTCCATCAACAAACAGGATTCGATCTGGATCCAGTGTTCATAATCTGAATTCCATGCTCCATCCTCTGGATTCCAAAGCACAAATTTTGCCGGATTCCTTTACACAGGGTGAAATCAAACTCTGGGTATTTTAGAGAACTTTACTTAACAACTATTTAACTACAAAAAATGGTTAAAAAGTAGTAAGAGGTTTGTACTAGTCTGTACAACCAGCGGCAGAACAAAGGCATTTACAAGCTTCTTCAAGGTGTGCATTTGAAACTACTGTATAGGTTTCAAAACATTTCTCCTGCAAAGTTTACTAACTTTGTACTAGCTATGGGACTGTTCGTCATTTATATAAGGTTTAATGAGGAGGGAGATGCTTATGCCATATGCTAGAAAAATCTCATGGGATCTGCCCTTTATGATGCTATTGATAATGAAGATCCCGAAAATATTTACAAATACCATAAACCTCCGAATATAAGCCCCTCTGTGTATAAGCCCAATATGGGGTTATTTATAATTGGGCAACGGCTCAGATGAGTGATGATAATTACATTACAGTATTATAATTTGTTATTAATGAGTTTTTAAGTTAAACTATGTGTTTCTTTTTGTTCACTATATAGTTTACAGGTATATTGGTATAATAAATGTTACTAAGGGGTGGACCATTTGATTTTTGAGGGGGGGAGGGGGGGTTGGAAGATTTCGAAAAAAAATTTCCTGCAATCCAAGGAGAAAGGGAAAAAAAATCATGCAGCATACAATCGAGAAAAAAAATATCATGCAAAAGAGAGCGCTCTACTGACGTTCTTCACTTCAGTATTGTGTCCACAGGCTTGCAAGATTTTGCATTTTTGAGCAGGCACATTTGTTTAAAAGAACACAGGGTGAACAGTGGACAACATCACAGGGATTCTACCGCCTTTGGAGCCTATAACATATGATATAGCCAGTGGCGTTCCCTGGCAAACTTGTTGCCCCCCCTGAGAAAATCTGGGCTTAATCTAATATGCATGGTAGAAAAAGTATTTTTGGATGGTTGAGTCTGTGTGCATTTTTTGATAACATAGCTCCAAACTATTAAAGCTTCAAAGGCCCATATCTACAGGATGCAAGTTGAACGTACTGTATATACGATGATTTTAATGCGAAAATGCCAGTTTAGAGAGTCTAGATTTTAAAAAATTTCTGAAGAGGATGCAACCCGATCCCCAACAAGCTATCTGTATGAACGATTGAAAAGCTACAGAGCTATATTTGGTGGAACATTGTTGTTTCGGAGGGCAGTTAAAAATCGCATTATTGAAATCTTGTTTTATTACATATTAATCAGAGCTCATTTTGTGATTTTCCCTTGTTTAAAATAAAGGACCGTAAGTGTTCCTTAGCCTTAGCACAGCAAAATTGTTGGACGAATCCATGGCTGAAAATGGTCCGCCCCTAATAACACCAAATATTGTCCATATCTAAGCCCCGCCCTGTATTATAAGACCCGACCCATATATAAGCCCATCAAAAAATGCTTACGAACGAATATATTCAGAGGTTTATGAGTGTGTACAAGGCAGGAGCAGTAGCCAAAGAGAAATTGAAGTTGCATGGATTGGGCAAATTGTAAACATAAATTGGGCAATAAGATCAGGAAAATAAAATGAATTTTTCCAACTGATAGGATGAATCTTGACAAGATACAGTATACCATAGTAAGATCTTGACAAGGTCTTCCAAGATCATAATTGTAAGTTTTTGCCAAGATCATGGTGAAATCTTGGTATGACCATGCTCATGCATGCAGGCAAGATTATGATAATTAGATTTAGCAAGGTTGTGCTAAGATCTTGGCAAGACTGATGGGATCTTTCCAAGATCATGGTAACATTATATGATTAATAAGATCTTAGCGAGTTTGTGATACGATCTTCGCAAGTTGTGATGGGATCTTGGTATTATTATGGTGGGATCTTTCCAAGGTCATGGTAAGATTATGATTGGATCTTGGCAAGATTGTGAAGAATCTTGGCAAGATTGTGATATAGGATCTTGGTAAGATCATCACTGTGATGGTAAAATCTTAAAATTATTATCCTGGGATTGTGGCAAAATCTTAGATCAATTAGATCATGGCAAGAATAAGATAGAATCTTTAGTTAGCAAGTATCCTTTGTGGAAAAATTGTGTTTGCAAGTACGCAAAATAGTGAACTTAAACTGAAAGCTTTAAAGCTTTGATAAATATCAAGTACGGGGACGTGCCAAGAAACAGCTTACACCGGTCCGCTATAGTCTTTTAGTTGTTATGACAACAACTATGAACTACCATAGGAACCTTAAGATTAAAGCAGGACGAAAATGCTATTAATACAATGAAATTCATAATATTGTTGGAAATAAATAAATAATGAAAATCCCGCGAGATTTTGGACGTCGTCCAAAAACAGCAAATTCATAGATTATCACGTCTTGACGTACAGACTACAGTACAGTTATACAACGGCTATGACATTTCAAGCTGTGACAACTGCAATTACTACAAATAAAAATTAGTTGTAGAACCTCGTTCAACCATACACCTCTGTCTTAACCTTGATCCTTAAACTGTATTAATTTCATACAATGGTAATAGCTAGACGACAGGTTTTCTTTACAAATATTTAGTTCAATGAGTCTTGTTGTATCCTAATTTGCTTGAAAGGACAAGATAAGGTGGGACAAATATCAGTTTTTCTCGGACAATTGACGAAGTAAAATTGTCTTGTTTTTTTGAATTACTGTACACTAGACCATGTTAACAAATCACTAGGGCCCCTGGTTATAAGTAAACATAGTCTAGTGTGCAGTAATTTAAAAAAAAAAACATGAAAAATTTACTTCGTCAATTGTCCTAGAAAAACCAATATATGTCCTTTCAAGCAAAATAATTATTTGCAGGCCTGTGACCACGTACTAGGATACATAAAGACTCATTGAACTAACGTTGTCTGGTTAATTTAACCAGGAGGTTCTGTTTAAATTAACTTCTAAAGTAGGAAATACTTTAGGTTAAAATAATGAAACTGTATAAGATAGCTCTTAATGATTTTAGAGAACTATATATAGCATCAACGTGCATCAACTACAATTACAGAACACTTCAGAACATGCTGTATAACATGCAATCATGCATAACACATCTCCTGTATCTATTTCAATTTAACATGCTCATTGTGTCAGGAAGCGCAGCCGTTTGTTCAATTGTTCATTGATTTCATTGATTTCATTGATCATAGGAATTTTTTTTCAAATCTTAAATCCAATATTTCTATACCATTCTCCTTTAGCAGCATTCACTATCTTATAGATAGACTAATTCAATACTAATTTTGCCATACATTTGGCACCAATAAAAGTTGGCTGAAATTCCTTGAACATCCTTCAGACGGTGGAAACCATTGATGAAAGAGTCCAGATAGAAAATCGTACCATTTTGTTGTTACAAGCAGTCACGTTGCAAATTAATTCTTCACTAAATTCAAAGTTGAAGCTTCCTTAATCCCTATCAAGTTTTGCCAAATGCGATATTCACCACACCGCACCATTCTCTTTAGTGTTCAGTTGAATGCCCTGTGTCCGACTGACTATAACAAGCGATTATTTGAGGACGATTTTATCCTAGCTGATGGATCTTGCCAGTTTAAGTGAAATCATGCATGAACTGATAGCCAATTGAGGCAACTGTCGTGCATGTAAAAACAAAGTAGGCGTTACTCTATATGATATTGTGACTATATAGCTAGCCAGCCTCCCATTTAAACAGCACTGAACCGAATAGTTAATGCTGTTAAATATTATAATAGTCATGCAATTTAAGTCCTGTTCTGTAAACGGACAAACCATATCATGGTAATGACAGTGCATTTTCAAAATATTTGTACATTGAGAAATTTAGCCAGTCCAATAATGTTGCACAATAATACTTTGGCGTTTTTGTATCTTTTAGGCTTATAACTTATAACTGCATGTCTTCAACTGTACAAAGCACCAAACCTATTACCATGATAACGCTTAATATTTATTACCATAATTCTGGTGTTTTAGGGGAGAAGACGGAGCTTACGGTAGAAGACAAATATAAGCGAACCATGGAAGAAATTGAAAGTCTCAAGGTTGAATTAGGTATTCTTTTTTTTCAATGCAATAGTACCATTTGACCAAAATAAGATCAAAACAGTCATAACACTTCCGTCTTCGCTGTAATTTTTGATATTTTTCCTATATCTCTAACTCGTCCAATGCCCAATGGCTTACAATAATGACTTTCCGCTCCTGCCACTATACTTTTATTATCAATTCGCCTTCAAAATATGCCCTAGACATCGTTTCTATTGCTTTATCGTTTAAATTTGACAATTCTTGAATGAGGTTGAGCATAACATGCAGAATGAATTCAAGGCCGAAGTCTGTATTATCAACCTTGTACATCCAGAAGTGAAATTTGATAATTCTTCATATCACGCGAAAAACGAATTCATTAATTGTTTTATTATTTATTTAAAAGATTTTTTTAACCCATCCGTACTTGTGGGTTCAATTCAGGGGTCGGACAATCGGACGCGGACCGAAACCCGGAGAACTTTGGGGGATTGGGGGGGGGGGATTACTGGAAGCAGGACAGATTCAGTCTATTTCTCTTCGGGTTTCTGAGCTATTTTCAGTCTGGAACACGATTGTCCCAGGGTTGGCACATTTCACTGATGATTATTGCTTCTCGGTGACGAGAAATTGAACGCATAATTTCATGAAATTTTTTACTTTTAGTATTTACATTTTCGTGCTCCTCGCTAAACGACTTAATGTCTTCATTCATCACTTTCACACACCTCACCAGTCACCACTTTTGACTGCGAAATGACACTGAACTTGTAAACATAAATACACAATGCAATTACAGGCGTGAAATGATCACGTGATCGATACTTCACTAGTAAGGTCGTGGCTAAAGGGGATGGACTAGAAGCAGGTTTTCAAGATGGCCGCCGGTTTTTAAGATCATTACTAGTAAGTCTACAATAATTTAGGTAGTTCTTTACGCATGGAAAAGCTCAATTACTGAAATTACGAGACTTTTTCTCACCAATGTGAAGAAAGTTAGAGATATTGTTTATCAAAAAGGGATTCTGCCATCGAATTCGCCACATCAGTAAGAACCAAATGACGAAGGTAGAATTTTTTATGGTATTTTAGAATAGTAATAGTATTATATTAGCACTAGTTCTTTCTAATAGTTTGCTCGTTTTCACACTTTTAGCAACACGAACTGAGCATGCGCGTCGATCACGTGACATGTCAGCAAGGATGGAAGAGCGCATGTGTGAAGCACAAGAGGAAGTAATACAAGAAAAAGAAGACAAACGCGATATTTCTACAGGTGTGTACAGTATAAAGGTCTCATCCGGAAGTATTCTGTTTCAGTGGCTATAAAGATGGACGTGTTCTTTCTCAGTGTAGTTAATTAGACCCTGAAATCAGCAAGATTTTCGTCAATATATTATATTTAAAGATTTTCGACGAGGATTTAGTTCTATTCACCGGCTCTCCATAGGTGCAATTTGTCTGCTCATGCGCGAAAGCAAGGCGCCAGCAACAGTATATACGCTTCCTTCTTATGCATTTTACTACCTTTTAGTCTTTTATTAGTTGCAACAATTTCGATAACTGTAAAATTTGAAAACGCACTTCAATTTATTTACAGTATCAAGTCGCTCTCTCCCACACAGGCTTCTATTTAATTAATTAACACGCGGGCTGTATACTTTGAAAATGTTACAAATTCCCCGCATACAAGGCCTATATAGCAATTCGCGGGTATATATAGCCCGCATTTTTAACTGACTAAAAACGCCTCTGTGGAGTACTCAGGAATGTTTTTACAAAATCCTTACAATGGAATAGTATGGATCTTAGTTGAAAATATAGTATGGAAATCCAATTTTCATACTAATTGTAATTTTCATACTATGGATAGTAGTATGGAAATAGTATGGATATAATATGGATTTAGTGATGCAATCGCAAATTCCATGGTACGTATATATGTATATATATATATATATATATATATATATATATATATATATATATATATATATATATATATATATATATATATATATATATATATATATATATATATATATATATATATATATATGAATTTCACTATTTTTTCTAGTGGAGTAGAGAGGTATCAAGTAAAGGACACTCTAATTTCTTAACATTTTGCGATTTAGGGAAGCCTCACATATCGATTTTGTCCGCATGAGAAACGTCATACAGTATGTTCGTTTCTCTGGAGACCCCCCCCCCCGCCTCCACCCCACCCCCTTAGAAACGTCACACATAGTTATCGATATTTTGTTCTTTAATATAGTACACATAAGGTAATTTTCTACTATTTTCTACGGTAGGCTATTGGCGATGCTTCCGTGAGGAATATGTCATCAAAATTTCCAACGTTTCTCAAAACAACTTTTTTTGCATGAAATATTGATAATTTTAGCGCGTTTTTTTTTAAACTTGAGTGTTTTAATGCAAGCCAGGCGTAATAATATAAATGTATACGTATATAGAACAGGTATGGTATTACGAATGTAATGACGTTTCTCGTGGAAAAAACGAACATATGACGTTTCTCGTGGAAAAAATCGATATGTGAGGCTTCCCTTATGAAACGTTTAAACCAAATTATGATTTACAACGAAAATGATCATTCACTCCTCTATTTTTAAAAGAGACTTTTTAGTCTATATATACTAGACTAACTAAGACTAAGTGCCAGCCCATACCTGATTACATGTTTTTGTAGAGCACGCCTTCTTAAATTCATTGTCGGTCGATTAAAAGGGAAAGATTTCAAAAAGGGTATACCCGATACATTTCAGCCTAGTAACGATCTTTTCATTAATAAGCTACTGCTGGACTAGAATGCATAAACAGTGTGATTTGCTTCATCTTAAAGTGAGAAATGCTTGTTATTCAGCCTTTATAGAATGTTACATGTTCGAATCGTCATTTGCCGTACGTTAAAAAAAGCGACAGGTTATCGCATATAAATCCGATTTACATTAATTTATACACTTCGAATTTCTTTTCTGAATCGTATTAATTGTCAACTTCTTAGATCTCACTCGCCAGTACAAGATGATGCAATCAGAACTTGGTTTAAAAATTCATATTCTGGAACAAACTGTAACTACCTTACGATCTCAACTAGGTATGATATATATAGTATCTTTTAGAAATATACATTTTGGACTCAGCTTTTTAGCCAGAAATATAAAGAAAAACAAAGAGTTTTTTATTACAAAATTTATCAGAAAGCAAGAAAGAAAAGACCGAAGGAACAGGGCAATTTTATTGAATTTGTTTTCGTCTTGACAAGTTTTGGGCAAAAGCAAAATAGCTGAGAAAAACTTGAGAAAGATACAGGAATACCAAAACCATAGTAAAAAAACTAAACAAATTTAATAAATATAACAAGTGTAATATAAGTATTAGGTAATAGTATTGTTTCCGATCGAGTGCAATTTGGAAAAAACATGCACGAGTGAGTTTTTCAAAGACGATCAAAATTGCACGAGTCCAAAGGACGAGTGCACTTTGAAGTCTTTGAATAACTCACGAGTGTGCGTTTTTCCAAACTGCTCGAGAAACATTGCTATTACTTGTTAATAATAGTAAATATATACATGAAAAGTTTACACGCTTCGATAACACCTGTGTACTCACCTACGCCATTTAAGCATTGTTTTCATTACTTGTTACTTGTTAGCAAACCTTTTCAGTTTATGTGCTCCTTGTGCTTAAAATGTTATATTCACGTACGAATTTCCAATGAAAGTCGGCAAAAAGTCGGCAAAAAAGCCTAGCCAATCAGAATTGAGTAATGTTTTCATCTACAGGGTGTATAAAAAAACTGAACAGATTTGAAATTGCTCTCAATTTCGCAAAACAGCTCGTGGTATCAAGTTGTTGTTATATATATAGATTCCTTGAGTACCCATAATGTAGAATAACGAAAAAAAATACTCAAACTCAAATTGTGTAAACCAGGGGGTGTTTCTTTTCCAACAAACTAAAAATGGCTTGCGCACGAAATTTAAAAGCTTTAATCGTATTTTGAGTTAATGGATGGAAAATTTGTTGGGTTTTTAATTACTGTACAAAATTTCAGACAAGTTTAACTATTCATTTTTTCCTAAAAAATCAGCCTTTCGTATGCTTAATTTAATTAATGCCTTTACCTAATTTGCATATTGCTGACAAATGCAAATTAGGCAGATGCATTAATTAAGCATGCAAAGGCTGATTTTTTAGGAAAAAATGTAAGTTTGCGTGAATAGTTAAAGGGCTTAAACTGAAGAAAATTGTCTGAAATTTCGTGCGGCAATTAAACATCCAACACAATTACACATTTTTCACCCATTAACTCAAAATACGATTGAAGCTTTTAAATCTCGAGCGCAAGCCATTTTTAGTTTGTTGGAAAAGACCCCCCCCCCCCCTGGTTCACAAAATTTGAGTTTGAGAAATTTTTTTTCTTAATCTACATTATAAGTACCCAAAGAAGCTATATATATAAAAAACCGGATGCAAATAGGTGTTTTGCGAAATTGAGAGCAATTTCAAATCTGTTCAGTTTTTTTTTATACACCCTGTATAGTTGGGGTGGTATTGGGTTAGGTGTACATGGATGTCCGACAATGATCGCTACCCTATTGTTTGGCGAACATATCTTAAGTATCTTTTCCATTCGTTTATGGTAGGTTTCAATCTCAGGTCGGTTTCGTTCACAGTACGTTTCGTTCCCGCTTGAGGATTGGCTTGGAGACGGGTGAGACATTTCCATTCGTTCGTAGTGTGTTTCGATCTCAGGTGGATTTTGTTCGCGATACGTTTTCTTCTCACTCGGGGTCCGACTCGAGTGGGATAGAATGCTTTGGTTCTGTGACGGGTGGGATGGGACGGATGCTTTGCCAAAAAGGGGGTTGTAACATATTATGTTGATCTTTCTGTTCTGTATAGTTGTTCGATTTTTGAAATTCGATGAGGGGCAGATTTAACTTTTATACAAGTGTTGGGGGATATGGGATTCGATTTTGTTGCATGACAAAAACAGGGTCAACTATTGTTATTAATTGAATCTGTCGTTGCTCGAGGCAGTTGGATAGATTGTCATTTGCATATGTTGTGAAATCTGTTTGTTGAGCATTGCTATCACAGTTTGGTTCCACTTGATCAAAACTCTGAGGGTTAATTAAATTTGTTGTTGCAGGCTGTTTTGATCATGGCGTTGGTTGTTATCAGGATATTGGTCTCAAGTCCTTGTTAAAGTCAGTGATGTTTTCGGCTTTAGAACAGGTGGCACATCTGCTATTTTCCATAACTTCGGCACCTTGCATTCACGGAAAGATGCATTAAATAGATCAGTAATTGCAGGTGCCAGAATGTCAGAATAGCTCTTTAGAACCCAATTAGGAAGTCATCAGGAGCGCTAGCTTCGGAAACACTGATTGCACGTAGTAGCTGCTACACTGTTAATTGGTTCATTATTGTCAGTCGATAGGTTACAATCTTCAGGCAGCGTGGGGAAATCTTTCATGACACTGATAAAGGCCTCGTTAATCCTATTCCCTAAACTTTCATCACAGTCCTCTACGTCAAATCTAATCATGGATCTGAGGTCTGGCCGTGTTGATTGCTGACCACTGAGCTGTTTTTCCTCTCGCCCCCAGTCTTTAAGTTTCGAATCCAGGAGGTTGCCAACTGTTTTCTTATAATATACTTTACGACAACGTTTTCTCTCCCGATTTACTTTGTTCGCAGCAATTTAAACATTAGGATATCACATTGAGTTTTACGATCTAACCAAATATCACAAAACAGGATCACCTCCTGTATCCTGTAATATCATGACCAGGGCCATACGCAGGATTTTTTCACCAGGGGGGCAGTAATTAAGGCCTATATGCCGAAAAGGGGCTGATCTCAGACGATTACGGTGGACCACTTTCGACATCCGATTTCCTGATTCGGGGTTCATGTGGTACAAAGACGGTTTAGGACCGTGTAAGGACCGGATCACTGCAGTTGGAACTTTCGACTAAGCCCTTTTGGAACCACTGTGTCGTTCAGCCAAACCCGATCTCCCACCTTAAACGGCGTGCTTTTGTCAATGTTATTGCGGTCATCGTATCCCTTTATCTGCTTCCTCTGCGCCTCACTAATCTTTTCTTTCACAAAGCGTTGCACGTCCTTCAGGGACGTTTCTAACTCATCACAGTAGTTCGAGATAAACTGTTCCTTTGCCTCTGTCTGGGTGCCCATCACCACTAACGGTGTGCTGGCTACACGACCGCAAACCGCTCTAAATGGTGAAACTCCTGACGATGAATGTACGCTGTTGCGGTACGCAAACAAGGCGAGAGGTAAATGAACGTCCCAAACAGTGTGGTCTTTATGTGAGTACGTGGTGAGGATTTCCTTCAAGGTCCGGTTTAATCTTTCGATCTGCCCATTAGCTTGTGGATGATACGGCGAAATTTGCAAATTTTCTACCCAAGAAGATGGAACACCTGCCGCATGAGCTCTGCTTCGAAGTTCCGCCCTTGATCTGTTAGAATTTTACGAGGAACACCGAGTCGAGTCACAACTTCGTCAACAAAAGCTTTCGCTATGGTATCGGCTCTTTGGTTAGCTAGCGGCACCGCCTCTACCCACATGGTAAAGTGGTCAGGCATCACAAAGGGTATTGATTTCCCGGTGCAGTTAGAGGAAGTGGGCCCAAGATATCCATTACCCATAATTATATTGGGTGACCAACCTCTATGTTTTTCATGGATGATTTACGCGGTAACACTGGAGACTTGCGGCGGTCGCATATTTCACATTCTGCGATCCACAGTTGCACTTCTGAGGTCATACCAGGCCAGTAATATTGTTGTTGCAGACGCTCAACGCAACGACTAACTACCAGATGCCCAGAGCTAGGGTCGTTGTGGGAAAGCTTAAGAAGGTCGGGACGCATTCTATGTGGGACCACCCACACAAACCGCTCTGTGGGTGTGCTTTTATCCACACAACGATGTAGGATACCGTTTCTCTTCTCCATTTATGGCCATAACTGCCTGTAGCGACGCCGCTCTCTGTTATCATTCCAACCGTCCTCGTCTTCCTTTTGATGCTGTGTTAGTGCAACGTAGCTTTTGCATTACCAACAAAATGCTTGGATCGTCCTGTTGCGCCTTGGTTATCTCTTCCTTCGGCCACGATGCATTCACTTCCGTGGCAGCTACTCCGACCATCAGGTCCTCATCGGGGCTCCAATCCGGCACAAGAGCGGGTGACACTCGAGGGAACCTGGAAAGTGTATCTGCGTTGTCGTGCTGTTTCCCCGGCCGATGTTTAATTTCGAACTCGTACTTGTGCAAGGCGTGTATCCACCGAGCTAAGTTCCTTTAGCTCCTGTAACCATGTCAAACTTTGGTGGTCCGTTACAATGTCGAACGTTTCCCCACCAATCCCTCTTGCCCTCAAAGAACATGACTTTAAAGGACATTGGAAAAAAAAATTCTATTCCTTATATCTATTAAACGTCCCTACGGAATACTTAATTTCCTGTTTTCGTCTGTCCATCGCATTTAGTTGCTGAAAAGATTGGCGAAAATGATGAACAGTCGTCCGCCATTTTGAAAAAAAAGCGTATGCTAATTTATGCTTGAATACATTTACTGACGTCATTAGTAGGGTAAGCGCAAATCTGACAATGTAGCCCGCGTGCAGGCCCAAGGGAACTGATAGTGGGCCTGCAAGCAAGACCCGGTATTTTGCAAAACGCCCCTTTTCATAACACGCCCGAATCACGCGTCAATTGTCAAAAAAGAACCAATGACAGCACCCAAATATTAACAAACAAAACTCGTATTAAAATGTTGCGGGGTTTTCTCTGCTTATTTAGAACATAAACAATGTGTAAATTGCTGCGTTTTAGCTCCAAAAAAGCAAGCAACGCAGTCAGTAATTGCCAAATTTGCAAGTGGTCATTTTCAACTAAAATCCGAACAGGCATATTAGGACGAATTTCAACCGAAAACCAGTCTCAAACTTCGAATCGTGAGGGAAGTCGTGCGACTACTGTACATTAGCATTTATAATGTGTGCTTCGCTGTCGCCATTGTTATAAATAAATTGTCACATTTATCAGATCGTGTGTGCAATACTTGTTGGCGGCGGAAAGTACGACATTTATTTCAGTTATTTCAGTTGGTAAAGAACTCTACAAAAGAAGAGAGCGTTCAGAGTCCAGATCGTTTCAAACGGCAATTTAATACCGTCTTCTGTTTCGCTCTCTCAACGAAGCCTTCTAAATCGCAAAGTGTTTCAAAATATAGGCTTACATGCAACTGCCTCTAAATCTTCACCGCGAAAGGCGCTGTTTTCTTCAGTGCAAGAACAGAGTCAACATCAACCAAATGATAATTTTCTTGAGGAACATATAACGTATCAAGTCTGTTTGAAATTAATGAAACTCAAGTAAAGCCAAATGTTACTATAGTTTACCCCAGTCGTAAATCGTAATGTTGCTATTCCAACACCTCACAACAAACAATCCCCATTGGCATAACGCCGAAAACATCTCTTCCTTCAAATAAACAATAAACAGTCTGTTCTTGTTCCATTTATAATCGAAAAAAGCGATCAATTTTCGAATTTTAAGCTTATCGAGAGCCTTTGTGATGAATATCACTGATCTAATTATAGAATCCAATAGCAAACAGCCAATCAGAATGCCGCGTTCGTGGGCGAACGCGGAAAGTACAAAATACCGGGCCTTGCTTGCGGGCCCACTATCAGTAATTCCCTTGGGCCTGCACGCGGGCAACTGACAATGTAAATTATAATGTTTTTACCAACGTTGTAAGAACATTTTGTCAAAAATATGAAAGGTGCATGGCAAATGCATGCAATTAAATAATTGTGCTATTGCTAGGTATCACTGTTCTACAAATATGTTTATGACAATAATTGCAATAAAAGCGTAGGTAGATACGAAAACTGCGGATTGCGATTTGCGAGAGATAACCTACATGAAAAATACAAGCAGAATCTCGGCGTTGCTAGCGAAGGCCCTTTGTCGAGCTCCCGACAAAGGGCCTTCACTCGAAACGTGGATATTGTGCTTATGAATATTTTTCTTGTGGTTGTATCTCTTGCAATCCGCAGTCACGGCTTAGAACTTGAGCTCATGCTGGAAATCTGCCAAATTAAATAATTTTATTACACACATGCCATATATTCCAAAGGTGAATGTATATGTTCTATTGCAGAAATACGTTGTAATTATCAGCAAAAATCATTAGACTATATAAGATTGTAGTATTTCGAAGTATTTCAATAAACATCGAAAACAAGCAGCAATATATAACATTATACATTTATATTTATAAAATAGCCTTTTAAAAACACGGGCGCTGATTGGTCAAAAGCTAAAAAAACCTCTGTTTCTATAACTCGATGGAAACACGGGGAATTTTCATGCGGGTTGCGTGGATTGCGCGGGAGTTTCAAAGACAAAATACAAACAATATTTACAGTAATATTGAAAAAAACTTGAAAAAGTCCGAAAACGGCGAAGAGCCATAACAAAAAAAGGCAACATTTTGCTAATTTAGAAAGCGAAGACCTAGAGCACAAAGTATAATAGCACACGTTGCATCTGTTTGACTGTTTATCAAGGTAAGATATTTTAATTTTACTTTGTCTTTTTAAAAAATATTTCCTCGCGACGTTTTTACTCATGTTTACTATCGTTTTTAATCATGTTTAAACGTTCACTAACTATTTAAAACAGCGCTTTCTTTGCATGCAAGCATGTACGTTGTTGAGTGAATGATATACTTTAGTAAAGTAAGCCTGTTACAGTGCATCTACTGTAAGTGGGGCCACTTAGAGAACACCAACCAATCGCATTGCAGAACAGAAAGAAAAATCTAATCAAACTAATTTAAAGCTCGTCCAATCAAAAGAAAGATTCAGGAAGCCATTAACTGCAGCGTTTACTTTTACAAGTCTATTTTTACCGTTTGACATTCGTTTATTTGTTCAAATTGTTTTGGCCTAATGCTGATTGGCTAATGCGCACAAGATGCACAAGATTATTGGATTCCAAAAACCTATGAAGTTAATTGTTTCCCAATCTCTGTACTGTCACTAGGTATTTGTTTATTATAATGTGCATTAAAATCGCCAAGAATGACAATTTTATATTTATTAGGCGATAGGCTTATTATATCGAGCATTTTCTGAAAGCTGTCAAAAAAATGAGAACAGGATATGATATTATCGTCTGGCGGCCTATAACATACTCCACAAAGAAAATTACTCCCTGATGCGCTGAATTCAACCCATAAAAACTCAAGCCCAACTATTTCTAGGTTGTGTCTTCGCTTAACCACAAGAGAATCAACTGCGAATAAAGCAACTCCGCCTCCAACTTGTCCTTCTCTATCAAGACGAATAATAGGATTAAAACCAGGAATCTTAAAGTTATCACTGCTAATGTTATTGTTAAGCCATGTTTCCGTTAGTGCAAATATATGGAAAGAAGAAGGTCTGTACAGATTGGAAGGACCGATTTTACCTCCAAATTTAATGATGATGCTCAATTCTTGCAGACCAAATCATTGACAAAAATAGAATCCAGCCAAAATCACGAATCTCAAATCTAAAACATCAGCCAAACAATAAATTTCACTTGTAAAATATTGTTACGGAAGGGCTTTAATTATTTGCACAATTTAACTGCAATATATATAATCCATAATATATCGAAACTTCAATAATATATCACACTTCTTTAGAAAAAAGCGAGTAATAGCAGTTCATTGTCGATCTGAGTGACAAGGCAACATATTTTACAGAGGGCTATATTCAACGGTGAATATCTCGAAAACGGTTGCGGGACCGAGGGGGGCTGGCTGGATAGAATTAAAGATTATACTTTTTTTTAACTAAACGTGAAAAAAATAGCGAAATCGAACCGTGGAAATTTGAGATTTTTGTCTTCAAAGATTGTTGACAGAAACGCCACTAAATTACATCGCGACGGCATAGCGCCTAAAGTGAGAGGTCAAAATAAACTGGAAAATAACGCTTACCTTTGAAGATACCGTTCCAGTGGGTAGATTCACTGTTGTAAAAGTAGTATCGCGTGAAATTTCCAAAAAAATGTGCATAACAATATGAAAAAAGTCGATATTTATGAGCCCTATGTAAATTTTCGATGCCAAAAGCTTCAAGCGAGCATGAGGAAAATGGCGCAATCTGATTGGTCGAGAGATTCGCCCAGATTCGCCTAATTAGCTGTCCAACCTCCTCTGACTAGTGTCGTGTTTAATATTTGTTATGTTCCTTTGAGTGAAAGGTAAGTAAGTATTATTTGCTCATTTCTATTTTTGTATAAGTTTTGTTTTATTGTATTATTTACAACACTAGCTTGCTCTGGTCAAAGGTATATTTTTGGTCAGGATATAGATCAGGCATTTTACTTATGCGAAGTTGATGTATCAAATCAGAAATACAATAAAGCCAAATCAAAAATTGAAAATACAATAAGCAAGAAAGGGCCCATTGTGCTTGTACTGACCATGCATACAGGGCTATTTACAGTATGTGAAAGGCCACATACCAAACAAAAACAAGCCAAGAAGGAGCCATTTCAGAACCATCCTCAGAGATACGAAAAACTAGTTTCATATTAATCTGACACTGCAATCGAGCAATGAAAAATTTGTTGGCTCGAGCGGGATTTGAACTCGCATCTTCGGGTATGTAGACCGCTGCTCTACCTATTGAGCTATCGAGTCAACAGGGATTGGTAGCGAGTCTCATTGAATTTAAGTGCACAAAATATTTTCGTGACGACTTAACGCTTGTCTTAGAGGACACGCAGTGTTTCAATTCTATTTCAGAACCATCCTCAGAGATACGAAAAACTAGTTTCATATTAATCTGACACTGCAATCGAGCAATGAAAAATTCATTGGCTCGAGCAGGATTTAAATTCACACCCGAAGATGCGAGTTCAAATCCCGCTCGAGCCAACAAATTTTTCGTTGCTCGATTGCAGTGTCAGATTAATATGAAAGGAGCCATTGTCACAGAATAAGTCATACAGAAGGCTGTTTGTGAGCCATGGTTTTCCAATGATTTTGGTGTAACTGTAATTCGTCATCAAAATGTTGATGCCATGCCTTGATAATATTCAAAATGGCAGACATCGAGGGGGGATGCCTATTCAAGTGATTTTTCTCCTGGTTTTCCACAACATTGTCTTTAGATAACCGACCCCTGATGTAGCATAATCCTGTTGGGGAAAAAAACAAATATGAATTGTTAATAATGCTAAAAGTCTTAAAACATTGTTGTAATGTGCTTAAAATAAAAGTTTTTGATCAACAAAAAAGCATCTGCTTTATACATCAGTATATCAAGAACGAAATAGTTTATTAGGTTGTAATCTTCTATAGCAAGTTATTCTGATTCCAACTTTATGTTTGTACTCAGTGCAAAAAGATATTGGTACCTTTTTCACTAACCTTTCTGTAGTTGCAATTCATCATCAGTCCAATTAGCTTTAAATTTTGAAATAAGAATAGATGAGGCAATCACCTGTTCATCGTCCATAACTTCACCAAATCTCTTACATATGCCAGTGCAAAGATCATCAACTAAAGGCACAACATACTGCTTTCCGTTTCTCTGCAAGTTCTCCTTATCATTCTCGAGGCATTCCAACAGGTAAACTATGGTGAGGAGCAATGTTCCCATAAAGGTGTCTTCTCACCTTGCAGAACATCAAGGGCAGTGGCAACTATTTCATGACAGCCTCATATAATGTTAGGAACTCGAGTTCAGTGTCTTTGAACTTGTGAGTAAAATTTGAAGTAAATAAAACCCCAACATCCAAATACTAATCACACTTTCAATAACCTCATCTTCTGCTGCTACTTCCTCCTTATAATTGCTGCCGAAGGCAGCACCCTATTCTTGACACGCGGTGGTTTCTCCAGAGTCCACTCGACCCAGTCTTTCGCGCGATCTATGTATTGTTGAGATCTCGATTTGTGTCTGTCTGTAAAGATGATTTCCGGGAGGGATAATTAAGCTTCAGGAAGTTTTTTTAAACGAGGGGGGCGGTCAAACTTTATTTTGTGTTGTGCAAGCAGTTTTAAACTTTTAATACGAGACCATACGAGTTTATATGTTGGATTGCAAACGAATATCAAAGAATAAATCTGGTAAGAATGGCTTTATTTCTTTCTGGTGATATACATGAAAGCATTTAATATATTTAGATCTGCTGTTTAGCATTCGATACAGAGGTATTGAAACATATGATTTCATGATGTCAATAATGTCTTATTTTATATACAAGGAGTGAAAATGCACTTTGAGTTTATGTTAATTGTTTGTGTGGCGATGTGCCAAGGCGATGAGTTTATAGTGTTAATTTTAGATGTTTATAGCAATGGTGCATTCAGCACGTTTTAAAAACAAACGCGGACTGTTACTTGTGCACGTAATCAGGCTTTATATAATTATTGAATAAGATTCCTATAGCAACCCAGTGTGGGGATTGTTGTCTGTATATATTAACTTACCAGGCTACCAGCAGTTACATGCAAATAGCATGTCAACCGACTTTTGTACAAAGCCGGGTATCGTGCATGCCTGATGGCCTGTTTATATCTCTGAGACATGTCCATTGTTAAAGATGCATTACAGTCCGTATGTAAACAAAGGCTTTGTTTACATTTCGGTATCCAAAATTTTATTCGAGAGCACATGCTCAGATCGGACTGTACAGCATCTTTAACATAATATGAAATAATCCTACCGACCTATAGTACTCGATCATACATTCACCTGGCTGTGTCATGCAATACATTTCAGGGTATGCTATTTATTCTTGGGTTTCACTAAGGCATTATGCAGTGAATCTGACTGGGGGTCAACCTCAAATGTATTGATGCTTATGCTGTACTGGAGTGAGAAAATGATACGAAATTCCATGTATTTGCCACCAAACACAAAGCTAATACATAAAACAAACAATCGACTCACTCTGATAATTGTGTTTTGTTTTTGAGTTGACCCCCTGCCACTTCTGTGACGTCATATGAAACCCAAGAATATTCTGCGATAATGCTCACAATTTCTTTCTTATTATATAGTTTTGCGGTTCTGACTGAGTACAATCTCTGACTGAGTACAATGAATGGTGTCATCTGAAGCTGACATATTAATTAAAAATAGATTTTGCCTCCCCATCAGATTGTTCGGTTGATTTGCAATAGGGGTAGCCTTGAAGATGCCAATGTAAATAATAATTGGGAAAAACAGACTTAGTTTTCTACAGTGTGTCTCAAAAAAAAGTGAAATTACAAATTTGCATAGTTTATGACCTTTTGGTATGGCTAGCTTTGCCACAGACAGTATTGTATTATATATACAAAAACAAGAAATTATAAGCATTGAAGGTATTCATATAAAACTGCCCAATGCCAAGAAAGTAGAAATAGAATATTTAGCTGACCTTTGACTTTGTGGAAGGTGTTTGATATTCTAGTTGCACTTTTCCTACCTCATGACCAGGTTTCTTAGGGGCTGTTTACTGTAAATATTGGAAGGCGGGGTGATTTTAATGTATTGAAATAAGTCAACAGAATTCAAATGTTGTAGTTCAAAAAGATTATTATTGCTCCTTGGACAACCTTTAGTTTACAGTTAACTATGTAGTTTTTTGTTGAATCGTGCACAGTAATTTATTTTACAAGTAATACGGCAAAGCAGGATCATATAAACTGACCCTTATTCAGCAAATTCTGCATGCTGCCTTTGATCCCTTGGGGGTGAGGCAGCACTTTCCTTGCGATAGTAACTTCTAGTTGACAAGTATACATACATGAACACCTAATATACATAAAACATTTAAAATGACCACATACGTGAGTATGTGGTCATTTTAATGGCAAATCAAATTGCTGGCATATGTTGTTTAATTTTCAAGATCTCGGTGGACTTGACTTGCTAGTCCTGTTAAGTCGTCTAACAATGTCAAAAACAGAATTCCATCGAGTTGAACAAGGGCGTTTTATTTGCACTGGGTTTTCCTGGTCAACAGTCTCTTTTGAGTGAACTGATCTTCCTACCTTTTCCATGGTGCTTAACATTTACAGAATGTAGCTCAACTAACTCTTGTACTGACCTGTTGGTTTCTGCCTCTGCAGCATCAGTTGTAGATACCACATTTAGGGAATGTGCAGCGCACCTAGTAGCATGGCCAGCCTGACGATTTAGTCCCGCTATGCAAATATTTTTGTGTTCATTGACTGTGAACACAATCAATTTCTAAAGAAATGAATAATAATCATTTTGAATTTGCATAGCGGCACTAAATTGTTGGGCTGGCTACGCCGTTCCAAATCATCTTCTTTGGCAGATAACCTGTTGTCAACTTCAGTCATAGAGATGTCAAGTCTTCTGGAGCAAAGACGGTGAAGTCTTTTATGAAATTAGACCCATTGTTGGTTCTGGTTTTAGTGATCTCACTATTAATGCTATAGTCACTGTGCACACTTTTAAGCTGTTCAGCTAGCTACTGGTAAATATGGCTGCCTGTCAGCCAAGGCAGCACTTTCGCTTTTGGAATTATCAGGATTGACCCAATATGCTGCAACTCCAGATAAGACCATCGATGTGCTGACCAACAGTCTGTTGTTGCATGGATTCCATTCTATCCTGCTCATTGCATCTTTAACTGCTGCAATTGAATTCTCCTGTCTCTTCTCTAAGCCTTTTGTGATAGAGTAGTGATTTAGCAATGTAGCTCCTGGCTGAAAAGCATTTATTTATGCCTTAAAAGATGGTTGCTCAACAAACTATACCAGTAGTAATCATTCAGTCACCATACTGAGTACATATTTGCCAAGTTCATAATCTGTAAGACATTTTGTGTTGCTGTTTGGCCAAGATAGCACATTCTGCTTTGGTTGTTTTGGCTTGTCTTTTCATTGTTCAGGTGGCAGTCAGCATATTAAATTCTGCCAAACTGTTTGGATGTACTCGCTAAAAGTAAATACAAAGTAAGGTTGTACCAGCATTCGGCAATGCCAACCTAAATGCCGACCTGCAAAGCGATATGTGTAGATTTAGGTCGGTCAAATACGTCTTGGCATTATTTTCCCGCGATCGCATCTTTCACATACGCATTTTCAACAATGTTTTAATTATCAGGTTTTGATCATTAGTTTGCATAGTCAAAATATGCTTTGCGAGATCAAATTTAATACTTGTGTAAACAGTACAGTTTCATTGTTGAAAGGTGATGCTTGAAACTTTGAAAAGTAAGCATAGGTGTTAAAATCGTCCAGCTTCAAGATTTAAGCAAAAGTATATGGTAATAAAGTAGTGTATGCCATCTGTCACAACATGCACTGTTCGATTGGAGTTCATAAATTTTGTTAGTTGTTTTGTTTGCTATTGGCACTGATTGCAATTAATTGCTGTTTATAAATACACGTATTTGCAGCAAGCAAATTAAATTTTCATTTGGATATTGTCTATTTGTTTTGAAAATATTTGCCAACCTAGAATAAGAATTATCGCTTTTATGTCGGCAACTTCTTGCTGACCTGAAATTTCGGGAGTTTCAAGGACTGCTAAAATAAAAAAAAAAAAAATAGATCTTTGTATGTTTGAATGGCAATAAAACGTATAATAGTTTTGCTTGTGGAAACAACATAGATTTATTACTGCAAAGCTTTCAATCCGTAAGCCTGGATCTTCATCAGTGCTAATAATATGAGACATGTTTAATTCACACATTCTTTTTATATACAAAAGTGTCATGATCTGTTGGCTCGCGTCATTTGAAATTTAATTAAACAGCACATCAACCATGTCATTTCAAATGTAGTGAAGTGATTCCAATTAACACGTGTGCATCCCAGACAAGAGAAATTAATTTTGCAAACCACATACTATCTAGTGGCTTCCCTCCTGATCTATAGTATTGCGCTTCTCGATTTCAATTGACTCTCTCATTTTGCAAGAGAACTTGTGACCATCAATCGCCAAAATGGTTGTTCTGTCCCATTTTATACAATGGTCGTAAGTCCAAGTATGTTTAGCCACGACAGATTTATCTTGCTCTGCTTTCTCGCAATTCGACTTGTGTTCCTCAAGATGTACTGAGAGATTTCGACCAGTTTCACCAATGTAAACCAAACCACATTCACAAGGAATGTGGTACACACCACAGAAACTGATAAGACTGAAACAATACTGAAAACTGACAGTACTGAAAAGAATCTGTTTAATCTCAGCCATGGGCTTTCAGGGAGACTGCTACCACGTCCACTCGTGCATTTGCTGACTTGTCTGATTCCAAGCTCTGCTCTGGGAATGTGATCACTGAGGACAACCCTTCAGGTTTGTCTACGACTATCGAATTTTCCAGTTCATTCATAACCAAGTCATGAATAGTTTCTATTTATTCCATGATACCTCCTGGATATAGTTGATCAACCACAAACATATTTCAATATTATTTACAAGAATTTATCAAGATGATATTTCAATATATTAACACATTTGACATGCAAATCAAAGCATATAAACTTAAAACTTTATTTGCCAATATTTGGTGCTCTGAGCCTACGAACAAATTGTGGCTTCCACTTTTGCAATAAATGGTACTTCATGTAGTACTTCATCATGTGATCTTGTAGAAAATTATTTCAGCCATTTTTCTGCATTTTTGTTGT